TTAGTAAGATGGTGGCATGTAAAAATAAAATGGAGAGGGAAGGGGAGTAGTGGAGAGAAGCTCAGAGCATCATGTCAGGACTCCAGCTTAGACCTACAACCAAATGTATTTTAGAAGGTACATCCAGTAATTGCATAGACACATTAGATGGGCCCAAACAAAGGCCATCCTGTTGACTAAAACCCAACATTATGGTTAAATATACTCAGTGGTAACAGGACAACCCAGGCCCCCGTATGCCTGCAGTTACTAAGATGGCTTATACCTGTTCAGCTGCACTAATTGTTGTGGTGCCATGAAATATCCTAAGAGAACACAACATGCTAACTACTTTTCTGTCCTCCCTCATTGTCCTACTAGTTTTATATTGGAAATATAATTTTCAACTCGATAGGATACATGACATACGATATGTACCTTTATGGAGCTGTTTCAATTCTATTTATTTATTTATTTAGTTTTGCTGCTAGGAGCTTTTCCTCCATTTCCTTGGCTCATTGTGGGACAATGCTTAGTATATACATTAAAAATTCAACTTACTTTTTGTGCCGACATTTATCAGAACAAGTGCCTGCTCAGAATTAGCATGTAGCTGAATTAAATCAGAACTGTGTGTTTTGAATGCCACTATAAGTTAAACTAGAAAGAAAGAGTAATTTTATTTGTTTACTTTGAGATCTTCCTGAAGCGCTCATCACTCGCAGCGCCTTGTGCAAAAGAATAACCTGCATGCTGACTTTTTTGATTATACTTAATTTTGTCCTTTTTGTGGTGTGAGCACATTACATACACAAAACCTCCTGAGAGTTGTTTTTATTATAAACGACTTTTTCACCATCAGATGTTTGTATTTTTCCAGTTTCATGGTAGTCACATGATTGAAACATCATCAACATGCCTACTAGCTTGGTGCGAATACTCAGGGCTATAAGCTGCTGTATTCTTAGGGGCGATGACTCCAGCTCACTTGGACATTGTGCGGACTTTGTCCTAGGGAGCTGGCAGGGTGAAGTCTGCTTAATGTCTGGGTCAATTGACCTGATAATGTCAGGGTTCCAGTGAATGTCTGAAAAGGTTAATATCTGATTTTTTTGACTATTTAGAAATATAAAATGTAAAAATACAGAATATTATATATCCGTGAATGCTCATTTTCACTTGTCTTATTTTATTTTAACATTATTTTAAAATATTGTAAATACATGAAAGTACTTATACCACCACTGCTGCTCAAAGATTGAGAAGCACAACAAATCGAGGACCCTTTGCTGTCCTTGATAGTTCAGGTGTATCTGTCTTTATCTCACTTTTCTTGTCAACTAAACAGAACTTTAAAAAAAATCATAATTGTTAAATATTGCAGTTAGAATTTTGTTGCATCTTTTTTCACCATAAGGATGTTAACATTAATATAATGTTTGCCTCCTTCTCTGTCATTGCACCGGTGTCTGATGATTGTTTCTCTCTGTGCTTGTTCCAGGTATACAAATGCTCTCCGTCCAGCCGGACACCAAGCCAAAAGGCTGTGCCGGCTGCAACCGGAAGATCAAGGACCGCTACCTGCTGAAGGCCCTCGATAAGTACTGGCACGAGGACTGCCTCAAGTGTGCCTGTTGTGACTGTAGGCTGGGCGAGGTGGGCTCCACGCTCTACACCAAAGCCAACCTCATCTTGTGCCGAAGAGACTACCTACGGTAAGCAAGAGAGCTGACACCTTGTCAGTTATTATACAGTTTTTTATTTACAACAAGGCCACCTTTGGGATTTGGCCCATGACCCTGTTTTCTGGCCTGATTAGACAGCAGCATATTTGACATGTAAATTATTGTATAGCATTTGTTTATTATTTCCATTTTGTTATTAGTTAGATGTGCGTATATTTTGTCATCTTTTAAAGTGTTATTTTCATTTTTAGAGAAGGCCAACATAATTCTCCTCACAATCTTATGTGGCCCCATTTCCATAAAAAATTTTTTTTCATTTATCTGCCTCTCAAAGTCTCTAATCATCTTCAGATATGGTTGTTGGGACATTATGTCATTTTTATCATGGTTATTTCAACTTATTTTCAATGAATAGTCCCATTCCTATGTTATATTTATATATATATTTATATATTACGGCTGTGACTCAATTAAAAAACTAACTAATTACAAGAATTCTTCATTTTACTGTGTAATTGCGATGAATCATGCAAACTCCTTATCATTCCCATCTGAATACCAAATTAACATAGGACCAAAAAAAGTGACCTAAGGTTATTCTTTTGCTAAATACCAGTTGAGCAAGTACAAACTGAATTCAGTGCCTTCACAAAAGTCTAGATGAACAGAAGCCAAAAAGAAAAAGAGAAGCCAATTTATCATAAACATTTATCCTCTGCTGTATTAACAGGGTGGCAATTTTTAGCTAAGCAGTTAGCTAAGGTCTCTATTACTTTATCATTTGTTTGTTTGGATAATAACCCTGGCGGAGTGTTCTTGATGTCTCAGCAATAGCACCTGAATTTTTCGTTCTCATGTGATGGATCAGAGATGAATTACTTTACTGACAGTTAAATCTGGCTTTGCAAAGTGTGCACACTACTTTAGTTTTGTCCAAACAGCCATCCTATTATGACCAATCAAAATACTTTAGAAACACTATATTGAGAAGACAGCCCCCAAAATAAAAAATTCAATACAACAAAAGGAAATACATCTAAACACTAAAGACACAAGTGTTTCCAGCTGCATGAATGGTTATAAAATTACTTGTGAACAACAGAACTCTCCGTTTTAAACCTATGCAATGTGTCCATCTACATGCCATCTGCTCAGACTGTGAGGCTTCACAAAGATGGAAAAGGACACAAGAAGACCTGTGTCTGTTTTTTAGCTGGTCTGAAATTCAGATGGGCAAGTGCATCAGACTTGGCACAGACGTCATCAATGGAAATCAGACTTTCTGTGACAGCTCAGACAGTATGAAGGACATTGCACATCATCACAATTAAACTCTGCTAATGAGCTTGAAAAGAAGCTTAATGAATGCTGGGTGCACAATCTCTTCTGAGATGAGACCAATATATATTTGTTGGGCTTAAATGGGGTCCAGTAATTTTGGCATGATTCTGGCCAGGACTACCACAACAGTGAAGCACAGAGGTGAGACTGTGATGATATGCAGCTGCATGGAGGCAAAAGATGACATTTATAGATGACACCAAAATACAGGCTGACAAGATGACTCCCTCCAGAAGCTTAGCAGAAGAGGAATATTATAGCTTGATAGCGATCCAAAGTGCAAGAGTTTCTAAACAAGAAAAAAAGTGAAAACTATGACCTGACCAAGTGGGTCCCCTGATGTGACTCCAGTAAAACACATTTGGGACATTTTAAACAGAAAGGCAGAGCAACACAACCCCTCCAGCAAAGAGCAGCTGAAAAAAATTGTCTCTGAAGAATGGCATAACACTGGTATCCTCCACGCCCAGGAGCATGTTCACTTCAGAAGTAATTCTGTAATGTAATGTAAAGTGGTACAATTTTGAATAATTTGCCATGTGTTCCTATTGTTATTGAATCACTCGGTAATATTCACAATGCGAACATTTTTAGACACATTGTGTGTTTCTTAATAGATAAGAATTCAATATTTAGGTCTATAAAAAATGCAGATGGTCAAATTTACAATTTCATGGACTTACACTCATGTTCACATCCTTGTGACTGTATTGCTGGCTCACTGCAGCACAGAAATCTGGGAACATGTGCAGTATACTATAACAAATGTACATCAGTCTCTGAGCTGGTGTGTCTTGCGCACCTGTTGTAGGACCTGGCATCCTTCATTTCATTTCAGTATTATAGTTGGGCAGTTTGTGCCACATTGTGTAGACTAACAGACTTTGACAAGTGTATCAGAGAAAACCAAAGCTGTTGGATTATCAACCAACAGTCAGGTCACTGACCTGACCTGGTCAGGTGTTGGAAGACTCTGGTTTGGGACATTTTGTGTCTCTTAACAACTAGACCTTGTAAATAATCAGTAACTTAGATCGAAGCTATGGATGGCCTAGTGCCTTTTTATTTTAGAACAATGTGAGTCCTTTTCTACTGAGTATCTGCAAACTAAAATCAGTATATTGTATTTTGTTTATTACTTCTTACTTAGTACAGTTATACTGTGCATACTTTGACTACAGTAAGCCTATGATAAAATTAGTAAAGCACTTCAAATGCTTGACTTTTGAGTAACTCTAAAGAGGTTTTTCCATTATAGGAACCTACCGAAACACTGCTCACTGGCTCTGCGTTTGTTTCCATTATGGTGCACCCACTTTGGAGGTGCATTCTGGGAGCTAATTCCAGCACCCCTCAGGAGGTAGTACTAAAATCAAGTACCAGGAATGTGAAGGGAGATGGTGTGCATGCGCGCAGAGCAGTCACCAGTGATTGGTGAAATGTCCACTTCTTCATACTTCTAGCATTAGCATTAAAAACACCATGTGTAAACACACAGCTGACTGCATATGTGAGAGGGGAGCAGCCCCTCCCTCCTCTAAACAGAGACTGGCAGAAAGAAGATACAGTGGAAAAACAAAGCAGGATGGTCCACATCAACCCCGGATGCTATGCTTGGTGATTGTTAAGGGAAATATGGGGTACACGCTCATTAGGTTCCAGTAGTGGAAACGCAGCATAACATTTCCTTAAGTGGTTGCTAACGTGTGGATAATGTGGCACATTATAATTTTTTATGATAATGTGTAGAAGAGTGTCAGTGTAAATTTGCTGGGGTAGGAAGTTTTGGGAAGCAGTCTGTTCTTTTTCAAAACCATACAGTATAGTGTCAGACTTAGCCTTTAGCGTGGTCCCTGGATAGAATTGTACTTTAGTTTCTCAGTGTGATGTTAATATATCCACACCTCAAACTAGGTACTAAGCCCACTGAAGAGTGTTTGTCCATTCAATGCTCAGTATCCACAGTTCTTTCCTACCCTGGTGGCTGCTGTGTACCAGAGCTTCAGAACAAAAACTGTGAATGTCATCAGTGAATGATATGGATATTGTTTGCCCACCATCAATGCATGCAATAGCAGCGAGGCCACTTGAGCATTTCTGAACAGGGAGTCAAATTCCAACATGTTATTCTTTCATCTTCAAAGTTCAAGGTGACTAAATTGACTTGACACTCCTCATCACACGAGTGGCCTTCCTGTGAATGCACCCTGACATCTCTCTGTTGACTTGTGAATGGCAAATTTAACAAACCACAGCAATCCACATGTGATCTGCAGAAAAGCAATCAGCTGGTGCAACATCACAAAGTAATACAGTTTAACACACACACATTTTAGTTCCATCTCTTCAGGGTACATTACACTGACTAATATTCATTTTCTGAAAACCTACGTCATCACTATAAAATTTAATGATTTACGTTTTGGAAACATGCCTTTGTTGACATCGAGTGCCCACAGTGTACTTACGTTTAGAGACAGGAGGATAAAAAATAAGGATGACTTTACATTTACTTCATTTTAACATTTCATTAGCGTTAAAAGTAAAGTATACATGCTCAGCCCCTTCTCCAAGTCAGTCCTATCCTGTGCTTATCAGGGTGGCATAACCAGATTTAATATAATTTTTTTAGGGGTCTACAACCAAGGATGCAATCCCACCAAAAGAGAAATAATAATCCTCACTATACATGCACAAAAATATTGAGGAAGAAAAGCTTATACAAGTAGAACGATTTTGAGTATGAAGTATTGAGAGGAATTTTCATGTGTGTGTAACTAAGCTATCCCCTCAAACCTGCAGCTGCAAACATAATCACAGGTATTATATTCTAGAGCTTTGTTCTCTCTGAATATCAAAAAATGCAGCAAGAACATTTTATCTTTATCGTTGAAATGAAAGCTTCTATTGATTCTGCTGCTAATGGCACAACATGCTGCTTATGCTGATGTGTGATTTTCATAGTACAGCATGCTAATGTTTGAAAGCCCAGAGGCCGGAGAAGGGCAGACAGACCCAACATATTTAAGTTAAAAAATGCTGAGAAAATGAAGACTGTGACTGTGACCTGCTGAGTGCCACTGCACACACACAACAGTAGTGCTGGCTCCAAGGCCGGGTGCAGGCATGAAACTGCTGTTGGGCATCAGTTAATGGAAAACTGTGAATTCCAGACATCCATTTTAAAGACAGCACTAGGAGAGCACTTATTTATCTATCTATTCATTCATTTTTTAAAATCCAACTTCAATTTTCCTCTACAGTGGTTTTACTAAGATTTTAAAGCAAGCAAACTCACTGAGCCGTCAACATGCCTGGATTTATTAATGTTCTGGAAAGCTGGCTATCAGTAAGAGATAACCAATATGTAGAGTATGGCGCAGTGTAATGACTTTGTAGTCAACAGCCACCTAGCATAACCATGTATGTAAATGGAAATGAAAATGTCTCCTTTTTCATCATATGCAACATATTGTCAGTTTGTATGTCAGCATCAGGGGTGAGAATGTGACATCAAGTCAAGCTTTATCTCCAGGGACCAGCTTAGAGGGAAGAGAAAAGTCTCAGCCTCTGAAACTTGTTTATTCGTCTCAGAAGTCTCATTCTGATATTTATTCCTCATTAACATGTCATACCTTTAAAAAATGTTCAGTGCATAATTACTTACAAATAGCAAAATATGGTTTCCT